TTGTTGATTTCTAATTTTATAGCACTGTGATCTGAGAAGATGCTTTGTAGTATTTTGATGTTTGTAAACTTATGGGGGTTTTCTGGAGAATGTGCCATGTGGGTTGAATGTTCTGTACACATCTATGAGGTCAACTTGGCTGATTGTGTTGTTTAGTTCCTCTGTGTCTCGTCTGGACATGTGCCGATATGGTCAGTTGTTTCTTGGGCATCTTCAATAATTGTATTATTATATTTTCTGATTGATTGCCTCCACCTCCAGTAGCTGTGAGCTTGGCTTCCTTTCCTTGTTCACTTTTTATTACTCAACTCTGAGTAACCGTAGAAGTTGTTGGCTGGCTGTCAGGTGAATGAATGGCAGCTGGGATTTTTATAGGGTGTGACTGTAGCTTGGTTATAATGACCACAATTTTTGTCTCTTCTTGGGTAACATGGGAGAGGAAGCCCCCTTAAGGTAAAAGGGGGACCGAAAAAAAATCTGTAGCAGAATATGAGTATGACTTTAATGCCTCTCTTGGTTCCTGCCTTCATGACCACCTGAGAAGTGTCAAGATGTTACTCCTCATGATGTACCTAACTCAGGATTTAATTTTCGGCCTGTTTCCTTTTTAGTCTCTCTCCCACTTCAGGATTTTTTCCTAGTGATAAACAGATTAGGGCCAGCTGTAGCCATTTTAAGCAGTGACCCTCCTTAGTGATTTTTTTGCGTAGCAGATCGTGTGCATCTGCTCAGTCACCCCCTCTAGTCACCAGAGTGATGCTGTGCAGTGAGAAACCAATGAACAGAGAGAGAAAAAGAATGTCCCCACCTGTATCTCCTAGGATCCATCAGACCTCTGCAGTGGGCGCTGCTGGCTACCACCAATCAGAAAACACTACCTTGCTTTCTTGCTTCTGCTACAAATTCCATTGCTGCAAGCCTTTCACACTAAGGAGCTCTAGTAGCGTAGTTGTTATGAATCAGGCTGTTAAACCTCAAGGTCTGCAGTTTGAAACTACTAGCCACTCCATGGAAGAAAGAGGAGGTTTTTTCTGCTCCTGTAAACATCTGTAGCCTCAGAGACCCTGTAACAGGGTCACTATGAGTCGGAACCGACTCCACGGTACTTAACAACCATAAGCCTTCACACTTTCCAAATATTCCTTTATATGTAGTCCTGGGTCTGCCCCCTGTACCTGCTCTGTCTGGTATTCTGTGTTATTACTGCCGGAGGTCTGCACCGCACTTCTCCCTAACCCACCATCAAGCCCCCGTGGGTTTTGATCTAGGCCAGATCCCCATCAGGAATTTTCTCTACACCAACTTTGGCACAGGGTCACTGGGTTCTTCAGGAAAGTCCCTCTAGGCATTTCATTCCAATCTGGGACAGTTGCAGTTATTATAAAGCTTTCTTCTTAAGTAGTAAAATCAGTCTCTCTGAAACTTCTTTCCAATCTCAATTCTAACCTCTGGAGCACTTGGGATAAAGCTGGTCCTTTCTCTGGGAAGGACCTTCATATGTTTAAAGGGGGAAGGAAAATGTTCTCCAGGCCTTCTCAGCTTCTGTATCCATGCTGAAAAACATTCTTTCAAATAGCAGGGCCATAGAGGTGAGCTCAGAAATGCTAAATTCATAAGGAATTTTGAGATCACCTGCTCCCTGTCCTTCTAAAGAGAGGAAGCCAGAGGCGGTAGGTCAGGGCGTATATTTGGGGTCCCAATGCTGCTCTGCTGTAGAGGTGAGACTGAATCTCCCAGGTGTGCAGGCACAGGGAGGTTGGGTTTGAACTGTCTCTTAGCCTTTCCTGTGCTTCCATCCTGCATATATACAGATGAACCTTGCTTTTTGTCCTGCTCTTCGGTGGCACTAACACTTTAGCTCCTAGGTGTCCTGCCCTCAGACCTAGGATATCCTCTATATAGATACATTTAGTGGCACCAAGGAGCAGCAAAGCCACTCGGCTCTGGGCCTTCTGCTGCGTCTCACACTTACCTGACTCTTCCCAGGGTTTGTTGCCTTTTGGGTCTCTGGTCCCAGTGGGCAGGAGTCTGTCATCCAGGCTGGCGGAGCTGAGATCTGAGTCGCTGTCAGTGTCGCTGGAAATCACTGGAAAAAGACACAAACACCAACACATGAGGTTATCCATACTATGTCCACTGCTAGCAGGCATCTTGGACAGAGGGACACAGGACTGGCTCCCTCTGGCCATGACAAAGGCGCAGAGAGAACCTCAGCACACAGTGGCCCTGGAAGGGAAGGTACTTGCCCAGGACCCCCACCGTGAGCCCCTGGATGAACTGGAATGAGAACCTACTGCTGTCTTCCTGTTCAATTCTCAGCATAATCATGAGTAAGGTTTAAAAGCCCGGACTGAAGCCAGATTGCTGGGGCTGGCATCCGGGCTCCTCCGATTACTTCTTTGGGCAAACGCCTCCATTTCCTTGTCTGTAAATTGGCGATAACGGCAATTCCTCCCTCATGCAGTCCCTGTTGAGTCAGTGAATTAGCGTACCTGTGCAGTGCTGAATGCACAGGTGTGCCTGTGAAGCCAGCTATGATTAGCATTCTTACAGCTCCTGGCACAGCATTCATTGCTTTCTGCCTTTTAGCCTCTCCAGATGGAAGCCTCAGAGCCTTTGTGTCGGGACCAAAGGTGATCATTCTGCCTCAGGGAGAGGGGGTGGCTTGTGAATGGAGCTGTTAGCCCTCCCAGCCTGGACAGGTCATGCTGGGCTTGAGTTCCAGGCTCCTCACATGGGATCACTGAGGCCACCCAGAGCTAGTACGCTGTTGTCACAACATAATCCACCTGGCAGCCTTGGAAGAGGCGAGGGCAGTGCAGACAGGAGTTTCTGCCTCACCAGGCGATTCAATGATGTTGTACACAGCGGGGATCTGAGCTGGACTGATTAGAGCCTGGGCTGGTGTAAAACACTGGCAGGCCCCCACTACTCCCCCTTCTGCATTCACAGGCACCGACAGTCCCCAGCAGGGAGGTGGGCCTGGGCCCTATGGGTCAAGCCCCACTTCACCTTAGCCTGTGTGACCAAGGCACAGGTGGGGCAGTTGATACCTGCTCTGCATTTGTTATGGATCATCACAATCAGGGGAAGGCAAAGGAGGGCTTGTAAAATCCAGACCACAATGCCAGTCTCAGGTCCCTCTGTGAAGATGCAGAGATTTCCTTGGGGTCATGGATATTAACAGGGGTGGGGTGGGGTGGGATATCTTCCCAGGCTGGAGGGAGACTTCCTGTGGGGAAAGAAAGGGGAGCTAGCACGCAGGGAACATCGACTTTGGAAGAAACCCTTCTTTTCTGGCTGGGTAATCAAGAGTGGAGCCAGAATGCAGGATATATACATACTTTAGGAGTTCTATTTTAATTTTAAACATATAATGTACATCCACTTGCCAATCTTTGTCTGTAGGGCTTGGGTGTTTTTTGGAGCTTGGGCCCACACAGTTTTTTCATATATACACTGTTTTTGTAGGGTGGGTCACTAGGGTTATCTTATTTTTCCATTTCTTCTCCTGTCTTGTACAGTTGTCCTACCCACACCTAATTCAATAGACTTTCTAAAGCAAGTTGCTTTTATCAATACTTTTTTAAAAATAGGCTCTGTTTTTTTGCAGCAGTTTGAGGTTTACATAAAAATTACTCAGATATGGGGGCGGAGATAATTTTTCATGGGCTAGAGGGTAGACACATGTAGCACAGCCCACCTAAACTCAGACCTATATAACAGGAAGAAATTGACCAGGTCATCAAAAAAATCCAGGTCCAGAGGGTTTCACTGGTGAGTTTTACCAAACATTCAGGAAAGAGCTGTCACCAATTCTACTCAAATTATTCCAGAATATAAGAAAAGGATGGAAAACTTCTAATGCATTCTATGAAGCAAGCATAATCCTCATACCAAAACCAGGGAAGAACGTCACTAAGAAAGGAAATTATAGACCAATATTTCTCATGAGCATAGATGCAAAAATTCTCAACAAAATCCTAGCCAACAGAATTCAGCAGCACATCAAAAAAATAATACATCATAACCAAGTGGAATTCATATCAAGGATGGTTAAAAATTTTCTAGAAAAACAATGTAATCTAACATATAAAAGAATCACATAATCATATTGATTGATACAGAAAAGGCATTTGACAAAATCCATTATTGATTAAAAAAAAGTCAACCAAGTGGAATTGAAGGGAAATTCCTCAACATAATTAAGAGCATATATACAAATCCAACAGCCAACATCACTCTCAATGGAGAGAAACTGAAAGCCTGCTCTCTGCGAACAGGAACCAGACAAGGATGCCCTTTATCACCAGTCTTAGCCAGAGCTAAAAGGCAAGATAGGGAAATTAAAGGCATCCAAATTGGCAAAGAGGAAGTAAAACTTTCTATTTGCAGATGATATGATATCATATATCTAGAAAACCCCAAAGATTCAACAAAAAAACTACTGGAACTCATTGGAAGATTCAGCAAAGTGGCAGGTTACAAGATCAACATACAAAAATCAGTTGGATTCCTCTATACTAATAATGACAGCGCTGAAAAGGACATTAGGAAAGCAATACTTTTTACAATAGCCACCCAAATGGAAGATTTAAGAATACTTGTAGCGAGAGAAACAAAGGATGTATACAAAGAACACGACAAAACACAACTACAAGAAACCCAAAGAGACAAAAATGGAAGAATATATATACTATGTTCCTGGATAGGAAGACTTAGTGAAGATGTCAATACACCCAAAGCAATCTACACATAACCCAATCTAGATTCCAATGACATTCTTTAAAGCGATGGAAAAAACAATTACAAATTTTATGTGGACTGGAAACAGACCCAGGATAAGCAAAGCACTGCTTAAGAATAAGAACAAAGTTGGAAGCCTCTCACTTCCTCCCTGATTTCAAATTTTACTACACGGCTACAGTGGTCAAAACAGACTGGTACAATGAAAGATACATAGATCAATGGAACAAGAATTGAGAATCCAGAAATTAACCCATCCACATACATCGTACAGCCAACTGATGTTTGACAAAGGGCCAAAGTACATTGAATGAGGAGGAACAGTCTCTTCAACAGATGGTGCTGGCAAAACTAGAAATCGATAATGCAAAACATTGAAACAAGACCTTTACCTCACACCTTATACAAAAACCAACAACATGGATTGAAGACCTAAATGTGAATACCAGAATTGTAAACGTCATCAATGAGAACATAGGGACAAATTTAAGGGCTCTGATACAGGAGACATACAAACTACAAAACATTTGTGTAATTTTTACAAAGATGACAAAATAGATGATTGGGACATTCTAAAAATTAGAAACTTAAGTGCATCAAAAGATTTCACTAAAAGAGTAAAAAGGGAACCCACAGAACAGGAAAAAATCTTTTGCAATGACATATAAGACAAGGGACTAATTTCTAAAATATATAGGAAACTACAACACCTCTACAAGAAAAAGACAAATAACCCAATTAAAAAATGGGCACAGGACATGAACAAACACTTCACCAAGGAGGAGATCCAGACAGCCAACAAACCAAACATATGAAGAAATGTTCATGATCATTGGCCATTGTTATTAAATGCCGTCGAATCAATTCCAACCCATAGCGATCCTGTATAGGGTTTGCGAGGCACACCTGGTGAGCTTGAACCGCTGACTTTGCAGTTCAAACGGCTTTGCAGTCTGGTGTATTAACCCACAGCACCACACCAGGACTCCCATTAGCCATTAGAAAGATGCAAATCAAAACAATGAGATATCTCACACTGGCAATTACAGTGAAGTTCAAAAAAGCAGGAGACAACAAATGCTGGTGAGGATGTGAAGAGACTGGGACCCTCCTGCATTGCTGCTGAGAATGCAAAATGGTCCAACCACTCTGGAAAACAGTATGGTGCTTCCTCAGAAAGTTGGAAATAGAAATACCTTATGGTCCAGCAATTCATCTACTTGGTATATATCCACAAGAAATGCGAACCATAACATGAGTAGAATACATGCACACCAATGTTCATAGCAGCACTATTCAGAATAGCAAAAAGATGGAGATAGCCCAAGAATATTATGCTACCTTGAAGATTAACAAGGAAGCTGCAAGCCACCGCATAACATGGATAAACCTTGAGGACATTATACTGAGTGAAATTAGTCACAAAAGGACAAATATTACATAAGACCAGTATTGTAAAAGCTTAAGAAAAGATATCCATACTAAAAGGGGAAAAAAAATTCTTTGTTGGTTCCCGGTGGGAGTGGGTTGGGGGAATGAAGGGAGGGGACGGTAGAGCACAGGGTGTTGGGGAAGGTAATACACAAGAAGGGGGAAGGGGTGGAAGAACAAGGTAGACAGGGGAACACTGAGGCAGGTTTGCATGGGTTAAATGGGACAGAGGTAAACAGTGATGCATGCTCAAATAACAAAATAAAATTGGGTAGACACATGTCAACACGGCTGATAGGGCAGGCAATATCCAACAAGAGGGAGGCTGGCAGAGGAAGGGTAGCAGGAGACACAGGGAGAAATGCAAGAGTTAAATAGAGGTAAATACTGTTAACTGATGGTACATGGAAGGGATTGCAAATATTGTAATGAAGCAAAGTATACGATTTGCTGAATGTAAAACTGAAGATGTGCTCTGTAAACCTTCAGTCAATTCACAGTAAAAAGTTAAAAAGGAGAGTTCTCACATATGCCCCACCCCTCTGCACCCACCTGAAAAACACACTGCTATTGAGTTAATTTGGACTCATAGTGACCTAAGAGGTCAGGGTAGAACTGCCCCATAGGGTTTCCGAGGCTATAAATCTTGATGGGAGCAGACTGTCTCATCTTTCTCCTGCAGAGAGGTTGGTGGGTTTCAACCACTGACCTTGTGGTTAGCCCACAATACTTAACCCACTACATTACCTTTCTCCTATTATTCGTATTTACATTGTTTCACATTTATTACAACTTCAATCAATATGGATACATTATTAACTAAAGTCCATCATTTATATTAAGGTTCACTCTGTGTTGTACAGTCCTATGGGTTTTGGCAGATGCTTACTGTCCTCTCTCCACCATTAT